ACGACCCTCTACTCGCCTGGGCGTCGTTTCTGGACGGGCAGGAGGAGGGGCCCGAACGACTCACACCAGGACGAGGGGCCCGAACAACTCACACCACGAGAAGCCCGAACGACTCACACCAGGACGAAGAGCCCGAACGACTCACACCACGAAGAGCCCGAACGACTCACACCAGGAAGAAGGGCCCGAACGACTCACACCAGGACGAGAAACCCCAAACGACTCAAACCACGAGGAGCGCTTTCTCTCCCTCCTCCTCCGCCTCGTCCTTCTCCCGCTCCCACCACAAGGAGGATGTACAAGGAGGCGGGAGGAAGGAGGAACAGGGGAGATATGCGGGGGCAGGCGGAAACACGCCTGAAAAACACGACTGTCGGCATGCTTCGCTAGAGTTGCTGTTTTGAGATGGGCTGGTGGGGATACGCGAAGCGTGCAGATTTTGTGTGATGCCATCTACGCGGTGCAGCAAATGTTCTGCAAACCAGGGCGGCGACGAGGCGGCGACGGGGCGGCGACGTCGGCCACAAAGCCGCCAGACCGGGGGCACGGCCTTGACGACGGGCGGCGACGAGGCAGCAACGGGGCGACGATGGTGGCCACACAGCCACCAAACCGAAAACACAGTCCAGTTCCTTCGAACAGGAGCACAAAACGGTAAGCGCAAGCACTGGGGAACGTTCCTCCTCATCATATCGCACCCCCCTCACCCACCCCTCACCCTCGTCACATTAATCGGCGCACGCACACCCATTTATCAAAATCCACCCATTTGCATGAATTCGACAAAATCCACGCGCACGCGCCGTCGCGCGCGCGCATACCAAAATCAATCAAAAACTTGGGACCCGTATGCATTCAAACTCGGGCTTCCCGAAAACATATACGACCCAATGGTTTCGCAACGTGGCGTTTCAGGAAAAACTGCGCGCGCGTTCGTGATAATCCGCGCGAATACCATACGGCTTTCAACACGTTCAACACACGCGACCAAGCGACCCTTTCGCGCGCGCGCATGTGAAAATCATTCGAACGCCCCCGCGCGCGTGGTAGGGGGTGCACAATCCCTGTCAAATGACGCCATGCGGGCCACCCGCGCCCGTCGGCAGCACACGCATGTCGAAATCTTTCCAAAACGTCACCACCGACGCGTGGACACCATCATTGTCATCGGCGGGATCAGCGTCGGCACCGTCATTGGCCTTACCGTCGTCCTCATCATCGCCACAAGCACCGATACTATCATCATCATGTCACCCGTTACCGGCGTCGACATGATACCGCACACGCCCGTGTCACCGATTCGCACTGAGGTGCCCGCACGCAAGCGCGGTTTGCGAGACACGCTAGGAAGTCCCCAGCGGCCAGCGCCACAGCGGCCGCGTCGGCCGCGCCAAACTAGCTGGCCGCTCTGCGTGCGAGCCTGCGCGCGCTAGCGCGGCCGCACCGATGCGCCAGCTAGCGCCAAGCAGTCATCGCAATCGCCGCCGCATGCGTTTTGCAAACAAAGTTGCGGGTGGGTGGGTGGGATGACTGCGCGAGCAATGGAATTGACAACTTCAATGTCGGCTGGGTGAACTGCACCGCCTATCTTGCGCCAAAAAGATGGCACCACGTAGAGCGCACAACATGGATTACACGACATAGATTGCACCACAAACGCTGAACAACATAGGTCTCACAACGGATATTCTCCTCTCTGAAAAATATTAAGATCTACCCCCCCTTCGGAAATTACAGAACGGCGCCCCGCTTCGTATTGCAAATTACCTATGCATCTGCCCCATCGTCCAGTCGATCGATGAACTGGAACCATCCCAGGCAGGTCGGTGCCCCCCCCTCATCCGATGCAAATTGTCTCATGCGCGCACACTCGCCCACCCAAAATCAACAGCTGCCAAGAATCGCTTGCAGCAACCACAAGAAAACGAACTGCACACGCGCGCGTCGTCGCGCGCGCATGCCGAAATACAAAAAAATACCCCAGCGCGACCCTATCTAGGAGTTGGAGCCCCTAGGAAAGCAGCATTCGTAGTAACGGTAAACGCCGTCCTCCTCCTTTTCCTCATCGTCATAGTTGTCTTTGCGTTTGCTTGTATTGTTGTTGTTTGGTTTTGCGCTTGCTTTGCCTTCGCACACACACGCATGTTTCTGCATTCGCTCACCGGGTGGACTCTCGGATCGTACTGTTGCACATTGTTGTTGATTTACCTTTCCTTTGTTTTGTTGTTGTTTTTGCTTTGAATTGTTGTGCGTTGCTAGTGTTTTGTTTTGTTGTTGTTGCTGTTGGTTTGCCTTTGTTTTGCTGCTATGTTATGATATGCTATGCTATGCGATGCTATGCTATGCTATGCTATGGTATGCTATGCTATTATATGATATGTTGTGTTATTGTATGTTGCGCTGCGCCGCGCTATGCTATGCTACGCTAGGCTGCGCTATGTTATGATAGGCTATGGTATGCTATGCTATGCTGCGATATTATATGATTTGCTGTGCTATGCTGCGCTGCGCTATGCTATGCTATGAACTGATATGCTCTGCTATGCCGCGTTGTGCTACGCTATGCTGGGCGGTGCTATGATATGATATGGTAAGCTAAGCTAAGCTAAGCTAAGCTAAGCTAAGATGAGATACGCAAAGCTAAAGTAAGGGGGCGCAGCTGGGGGAACCGCGGGGCGGGAACCGGGGGAACCGCCCGGGGCGGGCAACACTGCCCGGCCCCTTTAAGCTAAGAGAGCAAGAACCCTTCCAGGCAGAGCCTAGGTAGGGAAATAGAGGCGTCGCAAATATTGCAGAATCGAGCGTCCCACAATTTGCTGCTTATATGTAAAGGGCAAATGGTTTTGCAACACCAGTCCTCATCAGAACAGCCTTCACTCGCGCTTTTGCAAAGTCAGAACGTTCGGCCAAACGGGCCCCCCGCGCCGCATGTCGAAATCATTCGAACGCCGTTGCGCGCGTGCTGGGGGGGGGCACGATCCGTGTCAAATGAGAGACCATGCGGGCCACTCTCGCGCGTCGGCCGCGCGCGCACGTCGAGCTCCCCCCAAAACCTTCATCACCGACGCAAGGACGCCGTCATCGTCGTCGGCGTGATCAGCATCGGCGCCGTCACAGGCCTTGCCGTCGTCGATGTCACCATCGTCAGCAGCATCGTTCCTTACCGCGCCCGCTCAAGTCGCCGACTCGAACTGAAGTGCCCGCTGGGAAATGCCCAGCGGTCAGCGCCACCGCGGCCGCGTCGGTCGCCCCAAACTAGCTGGCCGCTGCGCGCGCGAGCGCGCACGGGCTGTCGCGGCCGCAGAGATGCACCAACCAACACCAAGCACTCATCGCAATCGCCGCCGCATGGGATTTGCAAACCAAGTTGCGGGCGGGTGGGTGGGATGATTGGGCGGAAAATGCCGTTGACAACATTTCGAGTTCGGCAGGGTGAATTGCACCAGGTGAACTGCACCACATAGATCGCACAACATAGATCGCGCGACGTAGATTGCTCAACATAGACTGCACAGCACCGATCGTACCACATAGATTGCAACACCTAGACTGCACCGCTGATATTGCACCACGTAGACTGACCCCACTCATCCTGCTCCACAAACAGACTGCACCA